TAGTATCTAGTCCAAACTTATTTAGTTCGGCAGTCAGTTCATCCTTCTTTAGTAGGTAAACAAAACCTACACGGCCATCGTTGGGATCGTACCAGGCGGGGTAAGCGGTTACGGATAGACTAACTGGCGGATTCACCGGACTGGTAGTGATGACAGTAGCGGCGGTAGTACTCGGTGTACTAGTAACGGTTGGGTTGCCATTGTTGCCGGTGCCTCCTGGCATCGTAATTCGGTCGGTTAACGGTAGCGGAATGCGGAGTAAGGGCTCAAATGACAACGGCCTTCAGCGGGTGATTAACAGCAGGTGCGTTAGTAGGCTTACGGTTAAACTCGGCGGTGCGGTGCGGTACGGTACGGTACGGTACGGTACGGTTAAGATTCGGAGTGCTCTGGGCGGCAGTCGGAAACGGTTAATCGTTCGGAACGATCAAGTTGACGGTCGGACGGTAAAGGTACGAAGAGAGCTGGGCGGTGAATGTTTCGGAAATATTCGGCTAGACGGTTAGAGCTAGAGTGCTCAAATGAACAAGTCGACGGTCAGGCGGTGAGTGTTTTGGAGTATTCAAGTGTTCAGCTTGGCGGTCTGACGGTAAGTGTTTCGGAGTGCTCCAGCTGACGGTCGGGCGGTAAGTGTTTTAAAGTGATCAGCTTGAAGGTCTGACGGTAAGTGTCTTGAAGTGATCAAGCGATCTCCTCGACGGTCGGGCGGTAAGTGTTTTGAAGTGATCAGCTTGAAGGTCTGACGGTAAGTGATCCATATAGCTTAATCGTCTTGCTATATACTCCCTTGCGGTAGTAGGGAGGCGTTCGGCCATCAAAAGGTTGGTGGGGAGCTTTACGGAAATCCTCGGACTTTTGAGAAATGTGGCAACCTGTGCAACATACACTTATTCCCTCCGGGGAATTAAACTTGGCAACCTCGCATTAGTCGGAAAGGTTGTGTAGCTCGGTTTTTATATTTGCGCATGCGCAAATGAATCGGGCGGAAAAGCGGTTCGGTATAGGTTGATCGGTGTTCGGACGGCGGGCTTTCGTGAAAAATGGCGGCGAACGGTTGGATTGTGTCTCACTACATCAGGGAGAAAATTTACGGATGGAGAAACTGAAATCAGCGACCGTGGATTACTGGTAAGGAGGCAGTTGCTCGAATTTTGGTCCACGCATGCGTAACAATACTTCCCAAAAACGGAGGCCTCCGGTCCAATGCGGTACGGTGTACAGGAACTCTTTTCCACGGTCGGTCGGACGGCATTGGTTGAGACTCTCAACTCATGGGGCGGATGCGAAGGCACGCGCGGAACGGTCCCAAAAAGAGCGGTGCATTTGCTCTGGCAATATGCGGTCTGGCAATCACCAAAAGAAACGGTACGGTAACGGACAACCAACGGTCATCGCCAAAACAAACGGCCTCTCGGTGTAACGGGACTGCTGGTGACGTAATCACATCGGTCATGTGCTGAAATCATGGACATGCGCAGAACGGTCCCTGCTCGGGCGCCAAATCTGTAGCGCTACTTTGGTTTTCCGGTAAGAAAGCGGTCGGTTCGGGGTTTTCGGAAAACTCGGGCGCCACCCTTAGGATTAATGTGGTTAAGGGCCCACGCGGATAAAACAATAAAAATTTAGTAACCTACGTTACAATGTCTTAGTGTAATCTAAAACGGTTATACTTCAAGCATAATTCAAGTTAAGTATTAGACTATTCAAGATGCAGTCAAATTTAAATTAAAATGTCCACCAAAAGGCCCTTTGAAACTTGTTAGAGGAAAAAGCTAGGTTAGGAACGGGGGAAATATAGAACGATTTTAAATAAGAAAAGTAAAAACGAGTCTATATATTGTGAACTTACAAGTTCTGTTGTCTAACTGCCCCTTGCATGTTGCATGGGTCTTAATAAAACAGCACAAATTAAACATACTGATAGTTATTTTATTTATATCCCTTGACGATATAAAACATGGTGTCAGGTTATTAAGTGCTTTTGATGCTAGTTTGTTGTTAGAAGTCAGTGAAAAGTTCGTTAGTGAACTGTTATTACGTTGTTTGTGAAAAGTTACCTAGCCTAAAAACATGGAGAGTTTATTTCGGCCCCCAGAGCCCCTTGTTACTGATGGCAATATAGCTGATATTTGGAAAAAAATTGTTCAAAAATTTGATGTTTTCTTGACGGCGTCTGGACTGGATAAAAAACCGGAAGAAACTTAAGTAAGAGTTGTTTAATGGTTTTACATTTACTGAGCAGGAATTAAAATCGCTAGACAATATAAAGAAAAAATTTCAGGAATACTGCTCGCCTCAAGAAAATGTGATTTTTGAACGGTTGAAATTCAACAGTATTGGCCAAAAAGATTAATAGTTTCTTAACAGAATTGAGAAAAGCAGTGAAAACTACAGGATATAAGTAATGGAGACTTGAGGTAATGTTCAGCGTGAACATTTTCTAATTCCGACTTCTAAGGAAATTACTGTCAAATTATCTAATAAAGAATATTTTTCGGTGCTTGATATGAAAGACGGTTATTTCCAGATCAAAATTGACAATCATAGTTCAAAGTACACAGCTTTTGGGCGATTCGAATTTTTGCGTTTACCTTTTGGCATTTGTTCTGCCCCGAAAGTCTTTCAAAGGAAAATTTATGAAATATTTGGGGACTTGGACAGCGTAGGGCTCTATTTTGATGACCTTATAGTTACAGGTGGAAATCAGTTCGAACATGATCATAATTTACATTTAGTACTTGAACGGGCGCTCAAGTATAATATTAAAGGACCACGCACGGATCTTATGGGACAAAATAAATTTCACGATTGTCATGAAATTTAAATATGTTATGCTTCTCGACCTCTTGAACCTAAGTTTTTGTAGGCCCAAAAAGATTCTATGATTAGTTTCGGAGATACAGGACCGCTATAAAAAAGTAGTACAAGAAAAATCTCCAGAATCTGCTGGTACAATAATTTAATTCATAACCAAAAATGACATATTTTTGGCATTTTTCGACGAGTTTTTAACCTTCAAAGCTTTAGATGACATCACTTTGACATTTTTCCACCCGTTTTTAACCTAGAATATGTCATTATGATGTCATTGCCTGAACTCAACATATTTCAAAATGTGCATTTTTTGTCAAAATTATGTATGTTTACCCGTCCCTGTATCTTCGAAACTAATCATAGGATCTTTTTGGGTCTACGAGAACTTACGTTTAGAAGGTCGAGAAACATAGGTGACATTATGTATTTCAATTTCATGACAATCGTGAAATTTCTTTTTTATCATAAGATCCGTGCGTGGTCCTTTAATTCTTCGAAAATCCAGTTTAAATTGAAAAGTGTAAAATTTATGGGACAAATTTACTCAAAGGCGGGGGTAGAGCCAAATAGAAGTTATGTTAAAGCAATTCTTGATTTGCCAGAGACAAAAAACGGAAATGATTTATTAAGGGCCCTTGGTATGGCAAAGTATTTGGGTAAATTTATACCAAATTTATCAAAGATTACTGCTCCACTGAGACTGGATTGTGTTTGGAACTGGCAGGACATTCATGAACAGACTCTTTTTCAACTTAAACAACTTTTAACATTCGCACCCGTACTAAAATTATTTGATTCACAGAAAGAAATTGAAATAGAAACTGATGCATCGAAGGACGGTCTTGGTGCCTGCCTTTTGCAGGAGGGACACCCTCTTAAGACTTCCAAAAACATGTATGTACATGTAGAATGTTCTTCAACATCACATAAAGAATTCATGAAGTCTGACGCAAAAACAAATTATTATAAATGTTAGAGAGAAATAATTGACTTTAAACAATTATTGGAAAATCATATACACACTAATAAAATCAGCATTAATTAAACCTCAATTCTATACTCCTCTCCAAAACTGACCTAAGATGTCTCTGATGTCAGTATTCCTAGACCACTATAAGTCGAAAATTCTCATTTCTCAGTCAGGCAGCAGTCGTAGCAGTTCAATGCTATGGAAATAATTCTGGCAACGTCGTTTTCAAGCTCAAGTTACCTGTAGGAGGCGTCGTCCATTTATAGGCACAAGCGAAGTCGACCGAGACGACTGGATCCAGATTTCGTGTACCTGGTGGCGACGATGCCAAACTTTTCGATGATAATTTAATAAAATGACATCAATAGGTCTTCACAATCACAGGTGATACACGCACTACAGGAAAAATTTACTAATTTCCATGACCCAGATTTGATTAACTTTGAGGTTTATTTAGAACGGTCTAGTTAAATTTAGATTATTTTGTATATTTTCAGGTCTAATTCAATTATGAAGGTGTAAAATAATTGCTACTGGCACGATCCACATAAAGAGGAATTAATTTCCTCAATAATCTGATTCAAAGTGGTGGAATCCTTAAAGTTGACGCTTTTGAGGAAAACACCATGAATAATGTTTTATTTCTAGTTTATCTATTTTTACATTGTAAGTGTTAAATTCTTCAAGGTATTAGTTGGCTTTTTGGATCATTTGCCAAACGATTATTCATTCTGCCAATAATTAGTATTATAGACTTCAGATATTGTTTGTTTATTCTTTGTCTGGAAGCTAAAATTTGCTTCCATTTAGAGTAGATTTTGAGCTACCAGGAGAATTATAGTTGATTTTTATGCCAGAAATTGTTGTGCCCCTTATGGAAATTTTTGGCTTTGAGGAAATTTCTATATTTTCCAGAAAATTCTGATGGAAAAGCGAGGAAATTTTTGTCTATTCCAGGACATTGGCATTATCTTTGTCTTTCAAACCTCTTGAAAAAAGAATTATAAGGCGGGGCATTTTCTATCCAGAGTCCAGGATCTTTGCTAGAACCAAAAATGATCAAGTTTGTATATTTTTTGCATTCATTATTGTCAAATAATGCACCTGTATCCAAAATAGCCATTCCCTCACTGACACAGTTATGGCTGATCCACTTGAGACTTTACACGCGAATTATTTATAAATCGCTTTTCCAAAAAAACGGAAAATCTAATGATGCTCGCGCACGTCTCATCCCCCCTTTTGAGTACCGCACTAAGTCTTATTCTGGGGTGTCGGGAGCGTCGCGGCGCTCACACGAACGACGCACTGCACGATAGCGACGCGCGGCTCCCCATTTAGGCCCAGTGCTCCGAACTCAGTGCTCCATTTTCGATCCAGAGACCCTTAAAGGGCCCAGCAAAAATTCCAGGCGAAAATGGCTTCTTCCAGTGCCGTAGCTAGAAGTTCCAAGTACTCGTACAGGTCCAGTGGTACCCAGGGCGGTGCCGACGTCAGCATCGAATACAGTGCTGATTTGACGGCTCTCAGCAGGCTCGAGGTAATAATTGGAATATTAGTGCAGAAAAAAAAAGTGCCTTTTCATGTGATGAATAATTGTGATTGTGATTTGATGGAGTACCCAATCAAAAAATCTATTGGATTATTGCAACGGTATATCGATAATTATTGAGGGTCTTATATTAGAGATATTTTAGAAATTGATTGATTGATTTTAAAACTCGTCCAAATTTTTCCAGGATAAAATTCGTCTTCTACAAGATGACCTCGAAGTAGAAAGAGAACTCAGATCGAGAGTGAGTAGACCCAAGAGAAAATTTGTATTTGGCTTGCACATGAAACTTTTCTAAATTTAACTCTTGTGGCATTTAAGTTTGACTAATTTTGCTTTTCCAAATGCTTCGCGTGCTATTAATTAATTGCTTGGTGATGCTTATTTTCTAACTCTTTTGGCTTATGGTTCTCTTCCTTAAAAATTTGTACAGTTTGTCAACTTTATCTTGACCTCTTTTGTATCTATCCGAAAGATCATAAGACAGTGAAGTCAAACTGTAACAAAACTACCGAAAAAATGTCCCTCGGTATTTGTTACGCATCATAACCTGAATTTAGACGGAATGAATCAACGATCTCCGCGTCCGAGGTTAGCGAATGTTTCTATTTTAAATTTTTGGCAAAGGTGCCTTTACCCATTTAGCTCACAGGCAATCTACATTTCACCTCTCTAAAAATAAACTATTCGGATTACGAAAAAAACATATTTTTCTTTTAAATTATGTGAGGCCAAAAATGTGTCAATCTGTCCTCTATGATTCTTTCTAATATTGAGACATATGTTTTAAAATTAGTGAGACTCTTTATTTTTGCTTTTGAATATTAGGTATTAAAGGTGAATCAAATTTTTGAATCAGAAAACTAAAACTACATCGTATTTTTAGGATTTATAGAAGTTTCTTATTTCTTCTGCACTTAAGTCTAACTTTTACCCGATGACCCTGATTTTATATCGGATATAATATGATTTCTGAATTTAATAAAGCTAGAACACGTTATAGGAACTTTCCTGGATTTCCAGAAATTTCCTTAAAACTCCCACATTTCATTGAAGTTCAGAGGCTCTTATAATTCTCTACAAAATTCCTGAATAACAAGAAACTGAAACAAATCAAGTGTAGAGGCCTCTAACTTCTAGAGCTGATAATATTTCGAAATCAGAGGCTCTATTTGAATAATTTTTAAGCATTATAGCCTCAATTACAGAGTGCTCCTTGAATCAGTACACAATTGACTCTTTTTCCGAAAAACACCCTGTAACTCATTCTAGAAAATACAAATATAGAGCCAGTCATATCGCCATAATTTCTATGTAAAATTCCTAATTTTCATGCCTCTATACTATGGACATTTTATATATGAATAGCACATTCTAGCATCTTTTAGAAGCTCTAATAATCCAATAATCCTTAACTTTTTGCCTTGTGCATGGTGTTTGAAAACAGATAAAAAAAATTGAAATATGAACATTTTCAGCTCAAGATTTCTATAATCTTTTGAGAACACTCTACTTATATAAATAAATATTCAAGACTCTGATAGAGCATTTCCTTGTCTCTATGATTGTCTTGATTTTTTGAAAGGTGAATTATTAATACGATTACAGGGTGTCTCTTCTTAGTATACAAATGACAATTTCTTGAAACTCAAAATAATACAAATAGAGCCTCTAATAATTCAATGGTTTCTCTATATTCCTTAATTAAGCATCTGATACAAATTTTGTGTTATAGGAAAACTAATGTTTAGAAAAACTATTTTATACATGCAATAGGAAGAATTTAAATAATTATTACTCAGATGCTTTGCAATATACATGTTGGCTAAAAGTATATAAATATAACAGATACCTATGCAAAACACAGATACTTTTTTCAAAATCGCAAGACATTAGACCCAAAAAAATATTTTTAATCTTGTCTTGTCTTAAAGAGCTCTGAGGTGTAGTCAACAATCGACAAGATTTATAGCAAATAACCTGAATATCGAATAAATTCAATTCTTGGAAGGATAAAATCCTATATTTATGCAGGACAAGTCAAAAACATCAAATTTTTATTTTTAAATGACAAGGGTTTGTTTTTGTTAGGAGTCCCGAGAAGAAAAGCATGTAATTTGAGATGTAAATTTGTTCATAAGGTTTTTCTATTATTGCAAATAGGTCATTTCAAATCAAGATTTAGCAAGTAGGTACACCCCTTGTACCGTATGTTTTGAAAAAAAGTTACAAGTCTTTAGAAGCTTAACTTTAGGGTCAGTTAAGTTAGCCCCTCCTCCATAGAAAATTTCTGGATGAAAATTATCCCATAATTTTGCTGTCATTTTGCTCTATTTTGCTCCACTAATTTCGGTTTTTGCTCCATTACAGTGGAGAAACTATGTGGCCTACTAGCCCCCCTCCCAATGAAATGCTCATTTTGTTCTCCAAGCTTAGCTCCATTTTGCTCCATAATCGGCTAGTTTTGCTCCATTACCAGGAGAGACCTACAGAGCTTCCAAAAATCTCTCCCAGCCCCCCCAGTGAAAATTCTGAAATTTGATCATGCTCATTTTGTTCTCCGAGTTTTACTCCATTTTGCTCCATAATCGACGAGTTTTCCTCTATTACCAGGAGAGACCTACAGGGTCTTAAATATCTCTTCTAGCCCCCCCCGGTAAAATTTTTGAAATTTGAACATGCTCATTTTGTTCTTCGAGTTTTGCTCCGTTTTGCTCCATAATCAGCGAGTATTGCTCTATTACCAGAAGAGACCTACAGAGCTCCCAAGAATCTCTCCCAGCCTCCCCCCCCCCCAAGTAAAAATTCAGAAATTTGATTATGCTCATTTTATTCTCCGAGTTTTGGTCCATTTTGCTCCATTATCGGCAAGTTTTGCTCCATTACTAGGAGAGACCTACAGAGCTCCCAAAATTTGTTGGCTCTGTAGGTCTCTCCTGGTAATGGAGCAAAACTCGCCGATTATGGAGCAAAACGGAGCAAAACTCGGAGAACAAAATGAGCATGTTCAAATTTCAAAATTTTCACCGGGGGGGGGGGGGGGCTAGGAGAGATTTTTGGGAGCTCTGTAGGTCTCTCCTGATAATAGAGCAAAACTCGCCGATAATGGAGCAAAACTCGGAGAACAAAATGAGCATGATAAAATTTCTGAATTTTCACTAGGGGGAGGCTAGCGTTAATTCAGCCCCCCCTCACCTAATAGGCCACATAGTCTCTCCACTGTAGTGGAGCAAAAATCAAAATTAGTGGAGCAAAATGAGAGCAAAATTATGGGATAATTTTTATCAAGAAATTTTCCATGGGGGAAGGCTAACTTAATTGACCCCCACAAAATTCCTGAATAACAAGAAACTGAAACCTATCAACTCTAGAGGCCTCTAACTTTTAGAGCTGATAATATTAAGCTCTATCTGAATAATGTTTAAGCATCATAGCCTATATTACAGGGTGCTCCTTGAATCAGTACACAAATGACTCTTTTTCGAAAAACACCTTGTAACTCTCGTGCAATTATTAAATTCTAGAAAATACAAATAGAGTTTTGAGAATTTTCCTATAAAATTCCCAATTTTCATGCCTCTATACTGGACACTCTATATATTAATAGCACATTCTAGCATCTTTTAGAAGCTCTAATAATACGATACTCCCCAACTTTCTGCCTTGCGCAGGGTGAACATTTTGAGCTCAAGATTTCTATAATTTTTTGAGAACACTCTATATAAGTGAATGTTTTAGACTCTGATAAAGCATTTCCTTGTCTCTATGCTGATTTTCTGGAAGGTAAATTATTAATTTGATTACAGGGTGTCTATTGACTTGGTAGGTACACAAGTGACAATTTCCTGAAACTGAATAATACAAATAGAGCCTCTAATAATTCAATAATTTCTCTATAACCCTTAATTTCTATTCTTGTACCGTATGTTTTGAAAAAAAGTTACAAGTTTTTGAAATATGACCATCGTTAGAGGGTCAGTTAAGTTAGCCCCCCTACAATAGAAAATTTCTGGATGAAAATTATCCCATAATTATGCTCTCATTTTGCTCCACTATTTTCGATTTTTGCTCCATTACAGTGGAGAGACCATGTGGCCTACTAGGAGGGGGGGGGCTGAAAGCCCCCCCCTCCCAGTGAAAAGTCAGAAATTTGATCATGCTCATTTGGTTCTTCGAGCTTTGCTCCATTTTGTTCCATTATCGGCGAGTCTTGCTCCATTACCAGGAGAGACCTACAGAGCTCCCAAGAATCTCTCCAGCCTCCCCCCCTCCCCCCACCCCAGTGAAAATTCTGAAATTTGATCATGCTCATTTTGTTCTCCGAGTTTTGGTCCATTTTGCTCCATAATCGGCGGGTTTTGCTCTATTACCAGGAGAGACCTACAGAGCTCTCAAAAATCGCTCCTAGCCCCCTCCGGTAAAAATTTTAAAATTTGAAGATGCTCATTTTGTTCTCCGAGTTTTGCTCCGTTTTGCTCCATAATCGGTGAGTTTTGCACCATTACTAGAAGAGATTTACAGATCTCCCAAAAATCTCTATTAGCCCCCCCTCCCCCCAGAGATATTTTTGAGAGCTCTGTAAGTTTCTCCTGGTAATAGAGCAAAAGTCGCCGATTATGGAGCAAAATGGAGCAAAACTCGGAGAACAAAATGAGTATTATCAAATTTCAGAATTTTCGCTGGGGGAGGGGGCTGGGAGAGATTCTTGGGAGCTCTATAGGTCTCTCCTGGTAATGGAGCAAGACTCGCCGATAATGGAACAGAATGGAGCAAAGCTCGGAGAACCAAATGAGCATGATCAAATTTCTGACTTTTCACTGGGAGGGGGGGGCTTTCAGCCCCCCCCCCACCCCACCTAGTAGGCCACATAGTCTCGCCACTGTAATGGAGCAAAAATCTAAATTAGTGGAGCAAAATGAGAGCAAAATTATGGGATAATTTTCATCCAGAAATTTTCCATGGGGGGGAGGGCTAACTCAACTGACCCTCAACTTTAACTTTGTGAGGACACTCTATATAGGGTGTCCCAAGGAAAACAGTCCACCCTGATTTATTGGATTTGGGATAAGAATCTGGAAAAACACTCGGACGCTTTGATGTGTGATTTTAGGGGGAACTATTTTTCAGTTTGTTTCACCCCGTAGCTTCAACCGCCTAGCTAGGGGACGAACAACCCCGTAAATTTGAATAGAGGATAGGGGTCGTTTCATATCGCTTTTTAAAGGTCTTATGGAGTTCTTTCTGGCTGTAGAATTTCATCTTATTATTTCCATCCGTAACGAAATGACAGCTTGTCAAAATCTTGGAAATAGACTAATATTTTAGTAGGAGTGAAAGTGGTACTTACCTCCCTTGATAAAAATACCAGTGAAAATACCTACAATTTACAATTCTCGTGTTACTACACCTTACTAATAATAATAGTAGAAAACTTGAATTTCAAGTATTTTTATCAAGGACGGTAAGGGCCGGTATTTCAATGTCACCTTAAGGTACAGAATAACGTTAAGTCATCCTTAATAAAAGTTCCTACGTTTATCAAAGTTCCCTTAGTTCTAGGTGAATCTTAAACCACCTGAATGAACTGATTTCAAGTTCACCTTAACGTTAAGGGTTCCTTAGGTAAGTCTTGAATTAAGGGTAACATTGAAATACCGGCCCTAAGTATCGCTTTTACTCCCACTAAAACAATAGTCGATTTTCAAGATTTTGACAAGCTGTCATTTCGTTACGGATGAAAATAATGAGATGAAATTTTAGGGCCATAGAGAACTTCATAAGACCTTTAAAAAGGAATATGACACGGCCCCTATCCCCTATTTAAATTTGGGGGATTGTTCTCTCCCTAACTAGGGGGTTGAACTTACAGGGATGAAAAAAACTGAAAAATTGTTTTCCCTCAAATCACACAACGACGTGTCCGAGCGTTTTTCCAGATTCTCAACCCAAATCTAATAAATCGGAATGGACTGTTTTCCCTGGGACACCCTGTATAAATAGAATATCTGATAGAGCCTTAGAGCAGGTTAAGCGCTGTTCTACGAACATAAAGAGTAGGAACGCGCCATTCTGCTATGAAACGGAAGTGAAGCCAGTTTTTGGTAGGTGTTTGGCACCAAATGGCAGCATTGCATTGCCTATACCGCCATTTTTTTGGTGTCAAAATACCTGGAAAAAAACGGCATAATTTTCCAACTCCATGTTACTACTCCTTTACCTTTACCTGCTCTAAGGATAGAGCATTTAATTTTTTTCCAAGGTTCTAATTAGACTCCTAATTACTGGATGTTTTTGGAATACTACACAAATTCCTCAATTTCCAAAAAAACACTATGTAACTGGGCCAAAATTCCTATGTGAAAAATACAAACTACTGGAAAAGTGTCTAAATTTCTTGAATCAAAATTTCTAAAGACTTATGACTCGAGGCCAAAATCTGAAAATTTCAAAATCGCAACTTTTGAAATTTTAAAGATCCGGTAATATTCTGAAGACTCACTTTTCAAGATTGTAGAAGGAGTGTTTCAAAAACTATAGACATCAAAGATTCTAAAGACTTATCCACGATTATGGATAATCTAAAATCTGTAAATATTAGAGGAGAATTAATCATTTAGAATCAAGATTTCAAAATCTCTTCTTTAGATATATAATTCAATTTCCTATAGAATAAAGTCTTTGAAATCTATATTGGTAGAAGACTACCTTCTACAAGATTCTTAAGGCAAAGCAGAGCAGAATCTTTCTCAGGAATTCCTGGTTAGGCTTTAGTTCAAATCTTTGCAGCTTGTGCTTAAATCTTGCCCTGCAAAATTTCTAAAAATCAAATAAATCCCCCATTATTCCAGATCGAAAGAGAAAAAGCCGACCTGAGCGTCCAAGTCATCCAACTTTCCGAACGTCTAGAAGAAGCTGAAGGTGGCGCCGAAAGTCAGGTAACTATGACCCCAAAATCGGTTCCAACTTGGAACCATTACAAAGCTCTAGAATAGATATAAACTTTAACTGGATTCGTTCTAGTTCGAAATCAACAAAAAACGCGACACCGAACTGCTGAAGCTGCGCAAACTGCTCGAAGATGTGCACATCGAGTCGGAAGAAACTGCCGCCATCCTGAAGAGGAAACACCAAGAGATCGTGGTGGATTTCCAGGAACAAATCGACACACTTGCCAAGGCCAAATCTAGGTAAAAAGAATGATTCATTTTTCTATTTTTGAATTCAATTGTTAATCGAAATTTTCAAGCAATAGGCGTTTCGTGTAGGAAAATATGATTCGCCTTCGGTCGGTCTCGGTTTCGTTATAAATAGCTCCAGCCATATTTGTCCTGGATAACCGAACAAATTTAATCTGATCCATACTTTAAAAACACTAGAGAATTTTTATTGTTTCGTTGAACGATTTAATGCCTTGGCACCACATAAAATCTTAAGATTTTATTTTGCTTGTTTTGGAACAATTATGGAACTCTCATATTTATCAAAAACATTGAATCATGTAAACATAGAGCACATTCCTTTTCCTAGTCAATAAAATCTAATTTAATCCACAATCTAGTATTAAAATAACTTCTTCTTCTGCAACAAATTCCTGCTGGATGCATTATTGCATCTACCAACGTTAATTAATTAGCTTGTCCACCCAAAACACCGACAAACACAAATACCGAGAAGTATTTTTGGAAAGCGAGTAAATAGGATTAAATAGCTGTGCTCCAGTTATCGGGATATTTCCACTATTTATTTTTGGATAGCGAGAATGAGATTCTGGACGTCGTTCTGAAAATATAACCGATTTTCACCTAGAATGTGTTTTATAATTGTTGGTTGATTGGACATTCTAAAATCAATGATGTTGGTCTATTTTCGTAAGCTACTAAGTTCCAGTTTATACAGTTTTATGAAGAATTTAATTCTCTTTCAAATGGAGTATTGCACAAGACAATCCATTCAAAGCTACATGAGCTGAAGCCAATTTGGTAAAGCAAAGTATGAGGATGTTTTAATTTCTTCAAATTTGCAATATTTTAGTAGAGTGCCCAACGCAGTTAAAGCCTTCCTAAAATGAGTTTTGTGGGCGCATCGGGGTTAAAAACTTTCAGCATTTATAGCTGTTATTAAGCTCTAAGTGGCTTGTGATTCACAATATTCACAGATTTATAGTATCTGAGCAAATTGAGTTTGAAAATTTTGACAAAATTTGGACCAGAAGTCAACTTTGAGGCTCAATTGCTCAAAAACTATTGGAGCTATCGCGCTCAATTTTGCACAGATTTATAGAAAATTTAAGGCTCTTTCCAATGATGTATAATGCTCGAAATTTACTAAAGATATGGGCAATTGTTCATGACCATGTCAGGATTTTGAAAATTTTCCAGAGCCAAAAATAGGATTTTATTTTTATTTTTGTGTCTGCTTAAAATGGTCATTTGGAACTGGTATTAGGATTGTTTTCCACTAATTTTGATCCGCTCTATCGATTCATAAAGTCAAAATTGAGCAAAACTAAAAAATAAAAAAATCTAATTTTTCATAAGGGTATCCCCTTTGAATTCTGATTTCAAAATACTCAAACCAAAATTGTTCGGTAACCGTTGAGCAAATTGCATTAAAATTTCCAGAATTTGTAGCTTTTATCAAGTTCTATATGGCCTGTAATTTACGATATTTCCAGATTTCTAGTTTCTGAGCAAATTGAGTTTGAAGTTTTTGACAAAATTTGGACTAAAAATCAAATTTGAGGCTCAATTGCTTAAAAACTATCAGAGCTATCGAGCTCAATTTCGAACAGATTTATAGAGAATTTAAGGCTCTTTCCAATGATGTATGATTTATTTCAATTTGCTCAAAATTTACCAAAGATATGGGCAATTGTTCATGACCATGTCAGAATTTTGAAAATTTTCCAGAACCAAAAATAGGATTTTCTTTTTATTTTTGTGTCTGCTTAAAATGGCCATTTGGAATTGATATTAGGGTTGTTTTCCACTAATTTTGACCCGCTCTATCGATTCATAAAGTCAAAATTGAGCAAAACTGAAAAATGAAAAAATCGAATTTTTCATAACGGTATCCCCTTTGAATTCTGATTTCAAAATATTCAAACTTCAATTGTTCGGTAACCGTTGAGCAAATTGCATTAAAATTTCCAGAATTTGTAGCTTTTATCAAGCTCTATATGGCCTGTACTTTACAATATTTCCAGATTTATAGTTTTTGAGCAAATTGAGTTTGAAGTTTTTGACAAAATTTAGACTAAACGTTAACTTTGAGGTTCAATTGCTCAAAAACTATCTGAGCTATCGAGCTCAATTTTGCACAGATTTATAGAGAATTTAAGGCTCTTTCCAATGGTGTATAATTTATTTCAATTTGCTTAAAATTTACCAAAGATATGGGCAATTGTTCATGACCATGAGAGGATTTTGAAAATTTTCCAGAGCAAAAAATAGGATTTTCTTTTTATTTTTGTGTCTGCTTAAAATGGCCATTTGGAACTGGTATTAGGGTTGTTTTCCACTAATTTTGACCCGCTCTATCGATTCATAAAGTCAAAATTGAGCAAAACTAAAAAATGAAAAAATCGAATTTTTCATAAGGGTATCCCCCTTTGAATTCTGATTTCAAAATACTTAAACCAAAATTGTTCGGTAACCGTTGAGCAAATTGCATCAAAATTTCCAGAATTTGTAGCTTTTATCAAGTTCTAAATGGCCTGTAATTTACAATATTTCCAGATTTCTAGTTTCTGAGCAAATTGAGTTTGAAATTTTTGACAAAATTTAGACTAAAAGTCAACTTTGAGGCTCAATTGCTCAAAAACTATCGGAGTTATCGAGCTCAATGTTGCACAGATTTATAAAGAATTTAAGGCTCTTTCCATTGATGTATAATTTATTTCAATTTGCTCAAAATTTACCAAAGATATGGGCAATTGTTCATGACCATGTCAGGATTTTGAAAATTTTCCAGAGCCAAAAATAGGATTTTCTTTTTATTTTTGTGTCTGCTTAAAATGGCCATTTGAAATTGATATTAGGATTGTTTTCCACTAATTTTGACCCGCTCTATCGATTCATAAAGTCAAAATTAAGCAAAACTGAAAAATTAAAAAATCGAATTTTTTATAAGGGTATCCCCCTTTGAATTCTGATTTCAAAATATTCAAACCTGAATTGTTCGGTAACCGTTGAGCAAATTGCATTAAAATTTCCAGAATTTGTAGCTTTTATCAAGTTCTAAATGGCCTGTAATTTACAATGTTTCCAGATTTCTAGTTTCTGAGTAAATTGAGTTTGAAGTTTTTGACAAAATTTGAACTAAAAGTCAACTTTGAGGCTCAATTGCTTAAAAACTATCGGAGCTATCGAGCTCAATTTTACACAGATTTATAGAGAATTTAAGGCTCTTTCCAATGATGTATAATTTGCTCAAAATTTACCAAAGATATAGGCAATTGCTCATGACCATGTGAGGATTTTGACAATTTTCCAGAGCCAAAAATAGGATTTTCTTTTTATTTTTTGTGTCTGCTTAAAATGGCCATTTGATTTGATATCAGGGTTGTTTTCCACTAATTTTGACCCGCTCTATCGATTCATAAAGTCAAAATTGAGCAAAACTAAAAAGTACCCCTTTGAATTCTGATTACAGATTCAAGTTTTACAGTTTCATGAAGCATTTCATTGACTCCAAAATCGAGTACTTAAAAAAAAAAATCCGTTCAGAGATAACTGAGTTAAAGCCAATTTGGTGAAGCAAAGTATCAGGGTGTTTTTATTTTTTTTAATTTCGACTTTGGTGACTTGTATTTCAAAAACTGTTGAAGCTACAGGATTTAGTTGTATGAAGCTGCAAAACTGAGCATTGCACAAAAAAGTCCGTTCAGAGATAACTAAGCTAAAACCAATTTGGTGAAGCAAAGTATGAGGATGTTTCAATTTTCTCTAAACTATCATTTTGTTGACTTGTATCTCAGAAACGATTTGAACTACTGAGTTTAAGTTTATACAGTTTTATGAAGAATTTAATTCCGTTCAAAATCAAGTATTTAACAAGAAAATCCGACTAAAGCGCTAATCGAAGTTCAGTCAATTTGGTTCTAGGAAAATCGTATTCTTATGCAAATTCTCTTCAATGTTTCAGGGCCGAAAAAGAAAAATCAAAATTCCAAAGCGAAGTCTACGAACTCTTGTCGCAAGTGGAGAGCCTGAACAAGGAGCGCATCGTTTCGATCAAGCATTCGGAAAAATTGGAAGTCACCATCAACGAGCTGAACATCAGAATTGAAGAATTGAACCGTACCGTTGTTGACATCACTTCGCACAAGCAACGCTTATCTCAAGAAAACTTGGAACTCACCAAAGAAGTACAAGACATCAAGGTCAATCTCGAAAACGCCATCTACCTCAGAAGTCAATTGGCCGGTCAACTAGACGACGCCCGTCGTCGCGCCGAAGATGACGAAAGAAGACGCTCTATTTTGGAAGCCAACCTTCATCAAGTTGAAGTTGAACTTGAATCTGTCAGAGTCCAACTCGAAGAAGAAAGCGAAGCCAGGCTAGATCTTGAAAGACAACTAGTCAAATCTCAAGGAGAAGTTCAAGTAATAATTAAACGATTCCCAAATACAAATAAATCAGTTACTATATAAGTAAATATTTTCTAGGTATGGAGATCGAAATTCGAAAGCGAAGCATCAGCTCGTGCCGAAGAAGTAGAAGAATTACGTCGCAAGTTCAGCGCCCGTCTTCAAGAGCAAGAAGAACACATCGAAGCACTCCTGGTCAAGACCAACAACTTGGAGAAGCAAAAGTCGCGCTTGCAATCCGAAGTGGAGGTGCTCATCATCGACTTGGAAAAGGCCAACAACACCGCCAGGGAACTGCAAAAGCGCGTCGAACAGTTAGAAAGAATTAACATCGATTTGAAGAGTCGCTTGGACGAGACCGTTCAATTGTACGAACAAACCCAGAGGGAGTTGAGGGTTAAGGTTAGCGAATTGCAAAGAACAGTGCACGAATTGGACAAAACTAGGGAGCACAAAGATGCTTTGGCTAGGGAAAATAAGAAATTGGCTGGTAAAGATTTTGCTTTAATAATTATTTGGATGCTTGAATTTTGTATTTCTAGATGACTTGGGTGATGCCAAAGCCACCATTAGCGAACTCACTCGTCGTTTGCACGAAATGGAACTCGAACTTCGTCGTTTGGAAAACGAACGCGAAGAGCTTACAGCAGCTTACAAAGAAGCTGAAGCTGTAAGTATTTTTTGTAGAGCCTTTTTTAGAGAATTGATGGTTTGTGTTGTAGGGCAGGAAAGCTGAAGAGCAACGCTCGCAACGTTTGTCCGCTGAACTGGCCCAGTTCCGTCACGAAGCTGAAAAACGTTTGGCTGAAAAGGACGAGGAAGTTGAAGCTATTCGGTAAGTTACTCAGAATGTTCATTATTGATGATGATGAACAAATTATAAATAAGACAAGAAAATTTAGTAGTTCAACATTTGCTTACCATATTATCAACGAAAAACATGAGTTCAACCCTGAAACAACTGTTAAACTTACTATTATGTAACTTGGAAACTAGGTTGAATTTACTTGAGATATATCAGACATTGATAAAGCCTTAGAAAATCCTGAGATTGATTGCATAATAGTTTTTTATGCATTTCAGGGATTGAAAGTACCCTTTTAATTTTTTTAGAAGCTCCTAAAGTGGAAGAAGATAAAGATAAACTCAGTGTCGGTACTTTTGCTCTCATTTGTCAGCCGTTAAAAATAATCAGGGGTCAATCAAAAAATCAAAAGCCCCATTTTACTAAGATAACAACTGCTGCTCTTTTGATGAGGATATCTGGAATTATTTCTCCTGTCAGTTTATCAAAAGCCCTAATCGAAATGCAAATCAATGGATTAATGGTCAAGGCACTGGTCGACACAGGAAGTTCGGATAGTTATATTTCCGGTACAGTTGTGAAAGAAAAACATATATAAATTTTTCCTACAACACTGAATGTTACAATGACATCTTCAAATTTTAACTTTTTGGTACGTGGATTTTGCAAAGCTGATATAAAGATATTTGACAATATCTATAAAAATATCAGACTTTACATTCTAGAAGAACTATGCGCTGATATTATAATAGGACATGATATTCTCAAACAACATTCAGGAGTAGAATTCAGTTTCGGGGGAAGCAAACCACCGATCTCCATATGTAATTTGACTATCGCTAAGGTAGAACCATATCCATTATTCGAACATTTGGCAGAAAATTGTAAGCCTATATTGCAATTAAATCTCGCAAATACTCCACAGTTAATTTAAAAATTCATTGAAGCTGAAGTGCAAAGATTTTTAGAAGAGAAAATAATCGAGCTAAGCAATATCCCGTGGAGAGCCCAGGCGCTAGTGACCAGTAATGAAAATCATAAGAAGCGAATGGTTATAGACTACTCATTGACCAAAAATAGATATACACATTTGGATGCATACCCGTTACCCAGGATTGAGAATATGGTCAACCAAATTTCTCAATATGAATATTTTAGTTCGATAGATCTTCATAGTGCATATCACCAGATACCAATTCTACAGCACGAACGTATATACACTGCCTTTGAAGCATGTGGAAATCGATACCAATTTACTCGAATTCCTTTTGGAATGATTAATGGCGTTGCTTGTTTTCAGAGAAATATGAATAACATTATCAAACAAGAACATTTAGAAGACACATATGCATTTCTTGACGACGTAACTATCTGTGGTAAAAATAAAGAGCATCATGATACAAATCTTAAACGATTTTTAGAAGTAGTTAAGAAATATAATCTGTCGCTTAACAAAGGAAAATGCAAATTTGGTATGACTAAAATTAATATACTAAGGCATACAATAGAAAGAAAATCAATCAAACCAGATATGGACAGACTTAAACCACTGATTCAGTTGCCACTGCCTACTAATACTGCTTCGCTCAGGAGAGTTCCAGGCATGTTTGCCCATTATTCCAAATTCATTCATAAGTTTTTGAGAAAATACATCCACTAATTTGACTTAACAAGTTTTCATTAGGCCTTCTCGGAAACACTGATCCGATTAACCCGATCACCAGCTGTTTGTATTTTATCTTCCTTTAATGTATACGACTGAAAAAAGACAAAGGATATCAGCTGGTGATCCGGTTAATCGGATCAGTGTTTCCGAAAAGGCCTGCTTATGAAGCTGCTGCATTTGAACAGTTGAAAACTGATGCAAAACGCTGTTGTTATTTCCATTGACGATGAAGCCACTTTTACTGTTGAAACCGACGCATCGGAATATGCTATTGCTGGTCAACTTATATAGTCTGGAAAACCAGTGGTGTTTTCCTCTAAGACATTGACGAAATCGGAACAGCGAAATTCTTCTGTAGAAAAAGAAGCCTAAGCTATAGTGGAAGCACTTTGTAAATGGAGACATTTTCTGATCGGACGTTACTTTAAGCTCGTAGCTGACCAGAAATCGGTTGCCTTTATGTTTAATTCACTAACGGCCATTTGCACCGCTATAACTTAAGGGATATTAAATCCAAGTGGAGCTTTGAATGTGACTCTCGTAGAAACAAAAGTCACATTCAAAAGCTCCACTTAAATTAAATATCCCTTAAGTGATAGCGGTGCAAATGGCCATAAGTAATTCTAAAATCAAAAATGAAAAAATAATACGGTGGCGTCTGGATCTATCATCTTATAAATATGATATCATGTGCAGATCTGGAAATCAAAATATCGTGGCAGATACATTTTCAAGAATATCTTCTGCAATTTTACGTTCTTCTAGTGGCAAAACATTGTATAATCTACATAATTCTCTCTGTCATCCTGGGTATAATAAGACTGTATCACTGGATCTGATGTAAGAACCTGTCCTGTTTGTGCTTAGATCAAACCAAGGTTTCATCACAAACGCTACTGCCCCTTTCGAAAGAATAAATGTATTTTTTAAAGGTCCATTGCCATCTGAGAACCAAAACCGCTATATTTTGACTATTGTGGATGAATTTTCTAGATCCCCATTTGGCTTTGCTTGTCCTGAAATAACCTCATCAACTATTATAAATTGTTTAACTTAACTTTTTTCTGTTTTTGGGACACCATCGTATACCTGCATAGTGATAGAGGGACATCATTTATGTCTGAAAAACTGAAAACGTTCTTAACACGACATGGGATTCCAACTAGTCGCAATACTTCTTATAACCTACAAGGAAACGGGAAACGGGCAGTGTGAACGGTATTATATGGAAAACCATTCAGTTAGCTCTAAAATCAAGAAACATGGATATAAGACAATGGCAGCAGGTACTGGTCGACTCTTTACATTCAATAAGGTCTTTGTTATGTACAACAACAATTTGTTCACCGCATGAAAGAATGTTCTGTCATCCTCGAAGATCTACAAATGGTTATTCAATTCCAACTTGGTTGAGTATTCCTGGTCCAGTCTTCCTTAAGGTACGGTTTGTTAGGAGAGTACGCGACGTACAACTGACAACGTAAACGTCGTCATTGGTTCGATTGGTTCAGATATGACGTACACCCGTTTTCTGATGCAGACGCTGACACCAGGAAACGGGTTTACGTCATACCTGAACCAATGAAGACGTTTACGTTGTCAGTTGTGCGTCGCGTACTATCCTAACAAACCATACCATTAGGAAGCATGTAAGACAAAGCCAGTATGAACCAATCGTGGAAGAAGTGCAACTCCTAGAAGCTTACTGTGATTATGTTCATATCAGATTAACTAATGGTAAAGAAACAACTGTGTCAATACGCCACCTTGCACCAAGAGGAGATTCTGCTCTGCATCAAGAAAAATCGAATGAAGATATGATTGTAGAATGTAGAACATATAGAAACGAACCCAATAATCAAAACAACGACCAATATAGTGAGCCAGATCCCATTCAACAACTCAATTATAATGATTCTTGATAGGATACCTGTAACACCATTAAGGAATCTAGGCGATGAAGTTGTACAAAATATAATTGACTATTTATTTCCTGGGGATTAAAAGTACCATTTCATTCCCTGTTTCATTTAATCTCCGGGAAATAAAGTAAAGTGCATAAAATAGTGTATATACACCTCAGGACTAAAGTGGTTTTTAATTCCTCAACAAATTATAGCTCACCCTTCGGTTGGGCTATAAACTTTTTGTCTTGGGATTAATAGTACCAGTTTAGTCCCTAGGTGTATAATGTACTATTACATTACAAGTTCGTTTATATTATGAACATGATAACGATAACGAGTATGACAGATCTCCATAATAAACGCAGAGCCGTAACTAGGGACCTGTTTGCGCCTGTGGCAGGTTATTAATTTGCTCCCCCGCCCCATATCCAATGTAAAAAAAATAGGTAAATTTTATAAAAATGGCGTCCATTCAGGCAGCCTTCAGTCAGAAAGTCAAATCTATACTGGAAAATTCCCCAAAAAATACCATCGGAGTTGCTTTAGAAAAAGAATCAGAGTTAGAGAATAGATTCGTGGGTTGGGGAATGAGCAAGAAAACACCGATTAAATCAAAAAACAGGTAAAGTAACACAAAAAAAGAGGATTATTGACCATACAGGGTAACTTGAAGTAATGGGGATATTGAAAACCATTGAAGATACAGGAAGGAACATAGGACCAAATGGGGAAAAAGTTGCGCAATCAAGTGCCTATAAATAATGTGTGATCAACTTCTTCAAACTCGGAATAGTAACGAAGAAAAAAATGTGTAGGTAAAGGTAGGTAGGTTGGTATTTTGTTATTCAAATTGCTCCGTACTTCAAGTTTCACCTTGTATAAGCTTGAGCTTACTATAAAGGAACGCTCACACGTAGCGTAGCAGTAGTCAATGTAAGGCTCAGAAAAATCGTTAAGAGCCAAATTATGGACCGACTGACAAAGTCTCTGGCAAATTTACTCTGTTGGTTAAACTGTAAATTGCATGCAATTTTTAGCTTTACCAGAAATTTGCCAATAACCTTACCAGTCGATCCATAATTTGGCCCTAAAGCTCTCGATATGTTGAGATAAATATTTTCAAGAATAAAATCATACAAACTTTGCAACATTTATAAAGGTTCCATTTCAATAAAATTATCAATCAGTTGTTCGCCTTGGGATTTCAAAAAATCTATTTGATTTGCCAATTTTAGCTTTTTTTTAAAGCTTAGAGTCAAGACCACAGGCACAAACTTCGCGTGATCTTTCATTTGAAGTTACAAAATGGGTCACATGAGGTTGTCATCTTTTTGGCCGAAAAGGATTAACCGAACTCAATTAGGCTATTCATTTGTACTTGCTTTACCTGCTCGTAAAATCAGAAAGATCTGCTAGGAGCTGCTTTTCATGAGGGAAAAGTGAACGTCGATCTGCTGCTGAGATCTGCTTGAAGCAAGAGTAGTACAAATAAACACCCCATATTAGTAATTGCATTTGCGAGCAAAATGAGCAAATTTTGACAGGTGTCAGGTGATTTGACACCAGAAAAAAGAAAAATGATCACGTGACGTCCGTTAGAATTTGCACTTTTTGGTCGCAGATGCAATTACCGAACCCAGCCTAAGACCAACAAATCTTTCCTCAATCTGTTGCTGGGTTCGGTAAAAGCGAGCGAAATAAACAAAATTTGAGGAATGTCGCATGATTTACCACGTGAAAAAAGGTAACTGATCACTTGACGTCCGTCAAAATTCGCTCTTTTTGATCGCAGATGAAATTGCCGAATCCAGCCTGTGTTATGATTGCCTGAATGACTTGCAAAAGTTTAACTTCCAAATGTGTTAGGGAAAAGATGGGCCCCGTCTTTCCTTCTTCACTGGGCATTTTTGGTTTCTATCTTTTTCTGGGTTGTTTTGGTACTAATAAATCAATATCTATTTCGCCGTATCAAGTATAAAATCTAGAAAGCGCTCTTTGAACTTTTGGTGTGTTGAGCAAAAGGCGCTTTACGCTTAACGATAAGTGGCAGATTGCGCCCTTCTGAAGCTTGCGCCCGTGGCAAATGCCACCTTCGCCATGCCCTAGTTACGGCACTGGATAAACGATCAAATCCTATTGGATTGTCTTTCTTTTTTTGATTCATTAACTTTTTAATCACCAAATTCACAAGTTTTAATTTAAATAGTACCTGAGTACCCTTCTTTAAAAGGAATATCAAACCTTAAGTATTCACGCGCGGCTAGATGGAGCTAATATGTTTTGTTCGTTCTACCAGTGGACTCAGTGGAGAGTCGACAATAAAAATAATTAATACCTGATAATAATTTCATAAAATGTAAATAATCATGATTCTCAGTTTCCTATTTTCCCGTTCAAGTTCCAGATTTTTGCTTGGCATATACCTACTTCCTACTTATTAATTAATGGAAATGTGGATAAATATATTACAAATTTAATAATATTTCTTATAATTTATTAATATCAGATGTACACTAGTTATACAGGGTGCTTTTTTACACAGGGTGGGGCACGAAAAACTTCCCACCCAGGTTTTCTCAGGTGTTAGGTGATTAATTAAAAATCGCTCGAACACGTCCAATTAATTTTTATTTTTTGGGGGACACATTTTATTGGTATTTTCACCTCCTACCTGCCAACCCCTAAGTGGGGGTGACAAATACCCCCAAAATTTCAAATGAAAAGGGGGGTCGAGTAATACGTCATTTGATAGCTATTTTCATTAAAATTATATCCCCGCAGTTTTAAGTTGCTACTATTTACCCTGTCGAAATAGCGGCTTGTAAAAGTTAGGAAAAATCAATGGGAAAATGCTGTGTCGTTTCTACCGGTTTCCTACGCATAGGTATGACAGGTAAAAACTATACAGTTTAGATTTATCGAAAAAAAGCATTTATCCTAACTTTGACATGCCGCCATTTCGGCAGGGTAAATAGTAGCAACTTGAAACTTCGGGGATATAATTCTAATGAAAATAGCTACCAAATGACATATCATTCGACCCCTCTTTCTATTTGAAATTTTGGGAGTACCTATTATTCCCACTTAGGGGTTCACAGGTAGCGGGTAAAAATACCAATAAAATGTGTTACCCAAAAAACAGAATTGACGTGTCTGAGCAATTCTTGATTGAACACCTAACACCTGAGAAACTCTGGGTGGGAAGTTTTTTGTGCCCCACCCTGTATATTTACACCCCACCTACAGCCTTTACCTTTACAAGTAGACGAAAGGTGTAAATACAAAGGTTCTACAGTTTTGGCTAATCCATAGTCAGAAACAAAAATTGAATGTCAGAAATGTGAAATTTTGCATGCTTTCAGCTCTTTTCAAATGGGATGCCCTATATTTGTTTCTATATTCGTGAAGAGCACAATTTACCGATTCCAAAACTATATAGTTTGTCTATATTTGGTTAAGCGGTCTCCAACATATTTGGTTCTAAAAATTTTAAAAATACTATCAAAGAAACCAAGTACCTCAAATTTTCATTCATATTTATAACATTCATGGCCGTTTGCACCGATCATTTTAAGGAAGCCTTAGCGATAAGTATTCCTTAAAATGACATCTTTACGTGGAGAAATGTCACTTTAAGGAATACTTATCGCTAAGAATTCCTCAAAATGGTCGGTGCAAACGGCCATCAAAGAAATTCAGCCAAAACTGTACAACTTTTGTATACCTGTAAAGGTAAAGGCTATAGGTGGGTGAGGTGTCAATATACAGTGTGATTTTTTAAGTGTGCAATATATGGGGACTTTTTTTACTAATAGCACAACCCAAATACAAACAATGCCAAAAGTTGGTGCATGTCTGATAATCATTTTAGGTGCACTTAGAATGGTTGCAAGTCAAACAGCATACAGGGTAGCTCAAACAATATCAAAGCTGTACTGTTAAGTACCCTTATTTTAGAAAATTCAGCAAAATGTTATAGAGAAAAGTTGTTTAGAATTAAAAGTTATGCCTAAATACCAAAACATAGCCTCCTAAGATATTTTTTATTATCTTTCGAAAAAAATCTATAATTTCTATATTTCTTTTATTTTTTATTTCCGCCCTTAATACTTTCAAAAATTAATTAAAATCAAATCAATTTTACATAACTTTGTTCAAATTCAAGCATATTTGTAAAATTAACTTGGATTTTTAATTTTTTTTGAAATCTCAAAATTTCATGTTTGTTGCAATGATATTCAACCATTCAACACAACGTTAAAATTCCTGTTAAAAGGCAAATATTAAGAAACCAATACCCTCAAATTTTACCTGCAGCTTTCACCTGTACAGGTAGAATGGTTATAGTTCTTCCAACGTAGACTGCTCTAATTTTTATGGAACATTACCTTCAGAAAATCGTCTGAGGCCTGAGATCTGAGTCTTTCATTTCTGTTGAAAGTTTAGGTGAAATTGGAGATAAAATGAATTAAACTCCCCCACAAGTTTTATCAATTATTGCCCAGCTGGCCTTCACATATAAACGCACAAGCGTTTGACGAGCTCAAAAATAATTGAAGAATTCAATTGAACTTAAAAATAAACCATTAACCTTCAATAAAAAAATAAAAAATAAACGTCACAGATTATGAGAACTATTACAATGGATGATCAAAGTGCATATGTAATTCAAGAACAATGTTTTCCGTAAATAAACTAAATTGATTGCCAAAAACCGAATCAATATAAATCGTGAATCGATCAATAAAGTTCAGTTTCAAAAAATGTCCCGTAACGTCCTGATCGATTCCCGAAATCCGAAAACCAAATGGCAACCGAAAACGCAATATTACGATTACAATTACGGCATCGGCATGAACTATTACCAACCGATGGTGGATTACATCGACGTAAAAACAGGAGCCCGTCCCCACCTTCCCTGGACCGATGAGCTGGGTTTACGCCAATTTGACCCGCTAGAAGTCCGCAGTTATAACGCGACTGATCTGGCAAAATTATCCGACAAAACGGAACGAAGTGCTAAAATTCGTTTGGGGGCTGGACGCTCGCACGCCAGTTCCAGCTTCGTGTTGGCCGAGTCGGTTAGTGCGGCAAGAATCACCACGAAAATCCAGCAGGAGTCGCGCAAGAAGCAGCGACTCGTCAAGGAAATCAAAAAACTGCAAACCAGAATGAAGGATGACATCGATTACCATCCGGAAGAGGACAGGCAGCTTGAGCGCGAGCTTAAAGCTCAGCAAAAGTATCTCAGAGGCAAATCAGCAAAGTCTATCGAGTCTCAGCTTCTGGCCAAAAGCAGAAAAGCCATAGCTGAGTGCCTGGATAGGGATTTGGAGCTCGCACAAGTCAGCACTGAGAGTGCACTGGTTCACGGTCGCAGCATTCGCACTCATGTCAAGGTGATGGATCAGAGAATTTCCAGTCAGCTGGAACAGTCTGTAAGCGAACCTTTGCAACATTTAACTGCCGAGCTTAAGAGCTTCGATAAGAGGGCCACGCATAGTTTTATTGATCAAAGGTAGAAATTTTTAATGTCCACTATAATTAAATCCATCTTTCAAAGTCATTGTGTGTTTATACAACAAATTATTATGTAATCGCATTATTGTCGGAGCGCCTCTCTATAAATAACGTCGCAATTAGGATTATAATGCGCGTGCCAAATTAAAATCCTTTGAGGTCTGGATAATGCCAAATAAGTGTTTATAATTAGAACTGGAAGAATACCAGATTGACATTGGAATAAACGAAAAAAAAAAAATCATTGAATTTGGTACAGTCAAAGAAATCTGGTTGCATTTCGACAATGGATTTTCATATAGGTTTGAATTGTTTTTTAGAGGAGATTCTGGAAGAGATGTTGCAATGGACATTGGATCAAATTTGTCAGAATATTTATCTTTCTGTAACAAAACAGCAATTCCTGGAACAAGTTGAACTACTTCTTGGTCTTCAACATTAGAAGAGTTCAATATCCAACATCTCTCAATTTTTCTTCCAAATCTCATTTGTCTTCAATTTTTGACTGACTATAGTCTTTTGAAGGATTCTCGAATCCTAAAATGTCAGTAGTTTGTTGTTTGATTGATGATTTTTCTTTTTTTTAGCAAAGCGACCAGCATTGAAATCGAACAGCTCAGCGCCCGTGTTGTCGAAGCCGAGACCCGTCTCAAAACCGAAGTGACTCGCATCAAGAAGAAGCTCCAAATCCAAATCACCGAGTTGGAAATGTCGCTGGACAGCGCCAACAAGACCAACATCGATTTGCAAAAGACGATCAAGAAACAATCGTTGACGCTCACCGAGATCCAGGCGCACTACGACGAAGTCCAGAGGCAATTGCAAGTCACTCTGGATCAACTCAGTGTGGCTTCCAGAAGAGTGCAAGCTTTGACCGCCGAAGCTGAAGAAATTAGGGGCAACTACGAAGGTGTAAGTAACTCAATTATTGCTGAAAGTCGTATTAAAATTTCAGACTGAGTTTTGATTAGATGCGGTATTAGTAGATCATGTGGGGCTTATGCCGACCCCACTTCTTCTCCAGGCTGCTCTTCCTGAACTATGGCATGGATTCTTCCCTACCTCTCAACCTTCCAGGCTCCTTCTCAAACCCCTTGAATGGTTGAAATAGAGTAATGTAGAAGTGAACTGGGTCAAGTGGAGGGGTAGGTGTACGAGCATCTACTTCTATACCGTTTCTTGGTTTTTCTCCAGAAAGAATCTTATGGTTCTGGAAGAGATTCATGAAAAATTAGGTCTTAAATCATTTTATAATAAATTTCCTTCTCCTCTCTGCGACTCTTGAGTTTTGATATATGGTATCAGGCCACCACCAAATACCAATAGCAGCAGAGTCTAGAGTCTAGAGCAAAATATTCTGCCGGATAGGCATTATGAGTATACACGAATGCCATTTGGATCTACAAATGCTCCAGCTGTATTTCAGCGAAGTATTAACCTAGTTCTTGGATCATTGAGATTTAATACAGCACTGACCTACATGGATGACATCTTGATTCCGGCAGTTGGCAAATTGACAAAAAGAGTCACTACTTACTACTTTTATGGAAGTACTTCACAACTTTAGTAGAATTTCCTGATTCCTTCCTCTTCTACCAGTATAGACTTTTTTCTGTTAAGAATCAGTAGCTGCTAATGAAATTCTTGAGTCAATACTCAAATATATCAACAAAATTCTTTGAAATATTTCAGGCCCTCCGCGGTAAGAAACACGCCGAACAATTGTACGAAGAAGCCAGCACTCGCATCAACGAATTGACCACGATCAACGTCAACTTGGCCTCGTCCAAGAGCAAAATCGAGCAGGAATTGTCTACCGTAGTGGCCGACTACGACGAAATCACCAAAGAATTGAGAATTTCCGACGAACGTTACCAACGCGTCCAGGCCGAAATCAAGCACACCGTCGAAATTCTCCACGAAGAACAAGAACGTGTCGTCAAAATTGAAGCCATCAAAAAATCTTTGGAAATCGAGGTCAAGAATTTGTCGGTGCGTTTGGAGGAGGTCGAGGCTAACGCCATTGTCGGTGGTAAGAGGATCATCAGCAAATTGGAAGCGCGTATTCGCGACATGGAAGCCGAATTAGATGAAGGTAAAAAATATCTGTGTCGTTACATTAAACTACAAACAATAATTGCTTTCAGAAAAACGTCGTCACGCTGAAACCATCAAAATCCTTCGCAAAAAGGAGCGCACCGTTAAAGAAGTCATGATTCAATGCGAAGAAGATCAGAAAAACATTGCCTTGTTGCAAGAGACCTTGGACAAATCCAACCAGAAGCTGGTCTTGTTCAAGAGACAGCTTCAAGAACAGGTTTGCGCTTGAAACTATAATCTTTCTGCAATTAATTTCCGATTCATTTACACTTTATAGGAAGGAATGTCGCAACAATCTGTCACCCGTGTACGACGTTTCCAAAGGGAACTTGAAGCAGCCGAAGATCGTGCCGACACTGCCGAAAGCAGTTTGTCTTTGATCCGTGCCAAACATCGTACTTTCGTCACCACCAGCTCAGTACCTGGCAGTCAAGTAATAATCTGGACACCTATTCTTGAACCAGGGTTGATAATATGAGTAACTGTTCCCTTGTTTCAAGAATAAGGGCCTTGATGTGTTTTTTTTTTTTAATATTATTACATTGTGTTTTTTTTTAGGTATATTTGGTTCAAGAAAGCCGAACCACCACCGAGATGTAAACGCACCCTTAGCTTTTTAACGCCCACAAAAAAATTTAAAAAAGTTTTACCTTTATAATATTCATCGTTCGTGCACATAATAATAATAATAATAATAATAAATAAATTGATCTTAGATGTATAAGTACATTATATTATATATCCTATACCACTCTCTTTGATTGTGTTTTTTTTTTTATAATTTAATTGTAATAATAATAACAACGTAATTTTTGAAACGTACAAAAGTTGAATTTGTAGGTTTCAGAAATGAGGGCTGTGGCCTTTTGATGATGATTTTTTTTTTTAGAGATGCAGGGGTAAATATATTTGTAAGTTTGAATGTACTGTGTAAGAATTAAAAAATTTAAAATAAAGTTGCTTGTATAACAGTAATTGTTAGTTGTTTTCCTTGTTCCTGTTTTCCCTTTATCGAGATAAGATCCGATGAAATTTCAAATTTTTTTTTTGTCGAGATTTTGTATCCTAATGGTCAATCAACATACCCCAAACTCCATACACTAAATTATTTTCAGATTTGAAGCCGAAATCTATGAAAAAAGGCACTCAGAAAAATTGAAAAATTGATAAATCACCCCAAATTGCTTAACACGATTTTATCTCAGGAACTATAAGTGCAAATGAGCTGAAATTTTCAGGGATTGTAGTCCTTTGAAAGGGATAAAATTCAGTGAAAGATTCAGCTTTCTATCTATAATAGAAAAAAAGTTATGACCTTTCAAAGTTTTCCAAAATTTAAATCATAAGGTAGGTACCTTCTTACTGAAACGATGAAATTTCAATTTTTTTTTGTCGAGATTTTGTATCCTAATGGTCAATCAACATACCCCAAACTCCATACACTAAATTATTCTCAGATTTGAAGCCGAAATCTATGAAAAAAGGCACTCAGAAAAATTGAAAAATTGATAAATCACCCCAAATTGCTTAACACGATTTTATCTCAGGAACTATAAGTGCAAATGAGCTGAAATTTTCAGGGATTGTAGTCCTTTGAAAGGGATAAAATTCAGTGAAAGATTCAGCTTTCTATCTATAATAGAAAAAAAGTTATGACCTTTCAAAGTTTTCCAAAATTTAAATCATAAGGTAGGTACCTTCTTACTGAAACGATGAAATTTCAATTTTTTTTTGTCGAGATTTTGTATCCTAATGGTCAATCAACATACCCCAAACTCCATACACTAAATTATTCTCAGATTTGAAGCCGAAATCTATGAAAAAAGGCACTCAGAAAAATTGAAAAATTGATAAATCACCCCAAATTGCTTAACACGATTTTATCTCAGGAACTATAAGTGCAAATGAGCTGAAATTTTCAGGGATTGTAGTCCTTTGAAAGGGATAAAATTCAGTGAAAGATTCAGCTTTCTATCTATAATAGAAAAAAAGTTATGACCTTTCAAAGTTTTCCAAAATCTAAATCATAAGGTAGGTACCTTCTTACTGAAACGATGAAATTTCAAATTTTTTTTTGTCGAGATTTTGTATCCTAATGGTCAATCAACATCCCCAAACTCCATACACTAAATTATTCTCAGATTTGAAGCCGAAATCTATGAAAAAAGGCACTCAGAAAAATTGAAAAATTGATAAATCACCCCAAATTGCTAAGCACGATTTTATCTCAGGAACTATAAATGCAAATGAGCTGAAATTTTCAGGGATTGTAGTCCTTTGGAAGGGATAAAATTTAGTGAAAGTTTCAGCTTTCTATCTATAATAGAAAAAAAGTTATGACTTTTCAAAGTTTTCCAAAATCTAAATCATAAGGTAGGTACCTTCTTACTGAAACGGTGAAATTTCAATTTTTTTTTTGTCGAGATTTTGTATCCTAATGGTCAATAAACATACTCCAAACTCCATACACTAAATTATTCTCAGATTTGAAGCCGAAATCTATGAAAAAAGGCACTCAGAAAAATTGAAAAATCGATAAATCACCCCAAATTGCTTAGCACGATTTTATCTCAGGAACTATTAGTGCAAATGAGCTGAAGTTTTCAGGGATTGTAGTCCTTTGAAAGGGATAAAATTCAGTGAAAGATTCAGCTTTCTATCTATAATAGAAAAAAAGTTATGACCTTTCAAAGTTTTCCAAAATCTAAATCATAAGGTAGGTACCTTCTTACTGAAACGATGAAATTTCAAATTTTTTTTTGTCGAGATTTTGTATCCTAATGGTCAATCAACATACCCCAAACTCCATACACTAAATTATTCTCAGATTTGAAGCCGAAATCTATGAAAAAAGGCACTCAGAAAAATTGAAAAATTGATAAATCACCCCAAATTGCTTAACACGATTTTATCTCAGGAACTATAAGTGCAAATGAGCTGAAATTTTCAGGGATTGTAGTCCTTTGAAAGGGATAAAATTCAGTGAAAGATTCAGCTTTCTATCCTAAATAGAAAAAAAGTTATGCCCTTTCAAAGTTTTCCAAAATCTAAATCATAAGGTAGGTAGGTACCTTCTTACTGAAACGATGAAATTTCAAATTTTTTTTTGTCGAGATTTTGTATCCTAATGGTCAATCAACATACCCCAAACTCCATACACTAAATTATTCTCAGATTTGAAGCCGAAATCTATGAAAAAAGGCACTCAGAAAAATTGAAAAATTGATAAATCACCCCAAATTGCTTAACACGATTTTATCTCAGGAACTATAAGTGCAAATGAGCTGAAATTTTCAGGGATTGTAGTCCTTTGAAAGGGATAAAATTCAGTGAAAGATTCAGCTTTCTATCTATAATAGAAAAAAAGTTATGACCTTTCAAAGTTTTCCAAAATTTAAATCATAAGGTAGGTAGGTACCTTCTTACTGAAACGATGAAATTCCAAAATTTTTTTTGTCGAGATTTTGTATCCTAATGGTCAATCAACATACCCCAAACTCCATACACTAAATTATTCTCAGATTTGAAGCCGAAATCTATGAAAAAAAGGCACTCAGAAAAATTGAAAAATTGATAAATCACCCCAAATTGCTTAACACGATTTTATCTCAGGAACTATAAGTGCAAATGAGCTGAAATTTTCAGGGATTGTAGTCCTTTGAAAGGGATAAAATTCAGTGAAAGATTCAGCTTTCTATCTATAATAGAAAAAAAGTTATGACCTTTCAAAGTTTTCCAAAATTTAAATCATAAGGTAGGTAGGTACCTTCTTACTGAAACGATGAAATTCCAAAATTTTTTTTGTCGAGATTTTGTATCCTAATGGTCAATCAACATACCCCAAACTCCATACACTAAATTATTCTCAGATTTGAAGCCGAAATCTATGAAAAAAAGGCACTCAGAAAAATTGAAAAATCGATAAATCACCCCAAATTGCTAAGCACGATTTTATCTCAGGAACTATAAATGCAAATGAGCTGAAGTTTTCAGGGATTGTAGTCCTTTGAAAGGGATAAAATTCAGTGAAAGATTCAGCTTTCTATCTATAATAGAAAAAAAGTTATGACCTTTCAAAGTTTTCCAAAATTTAAATCATAAGGTAGGTACCTTCTTACTGAAACGATGAAATTTCAAATTTTTTTTTGTCGAGATTTTGTATCCTAATGGTCAATCAACATACCCCAAACTCCATACACTAAATTATTCTCAGATTTGAAGCCGAAATCTATGAAAAAAAGGCACTCAGAAAAATTGAAAAATCGATAAATCACCCCAAATTGCTTAGCACGATTTTATCTCAGGAACTATAAATGCAAATGAGCTGAAGTTTTCAGGGATTGTAGTCCTTTGAAAGGGATAAAATTCAGTGAAAGATTCAGCTTTCTATCTATAATAGAAAAAAAGTTATGACCTTTCAAAGTTTTCCAAAATTTAAATCATAAGGTAGGTACCTTCTTACTGAAACGATGAAATTTCAAATTTTTTTTTGTCGAGATTTTGTATCCTAATGGTCAATCAACATACCCCAAACTCCATACACTAAATTATTCTCAGATTTGAAGCCGAAATCTATGAAAAAAAGGCACTCAGAAAAATTGAAAAATCGATAAATCACCCCAAATTGCTTAACACGATTTTATCTCAGGAACTATAAATGCAAATGAGCTGAAGTTTTCAGGGATTGTAGTCCTTTGAAAGGGATAAAATTCAGTGAAAGATTCAGCTTTCTATCTATAATAGAAAAAAAGTTATGACCTTTCAAAGTTTTCCAAAATTTAAATCATAAGGTAGGTACCTTCTTACTGAAACGATGAAATTTCAAATTTTTTTTTGTCGAGATTTTGTATCCTAATGGTCAATCAACATACCCCAAACTCCATACACTAAATTATTCTCAGATTTGAAGCCGAAATCTATGAAAAAAAGGCACTCAGAAAAATTGAAAAATCTATAAATCACCCCAAATTGCTAAGCACGATTTTATCTCAGGAACTATAAATGCAAATGAGCTGAAGTTTTCAGGGATTGTAGTCCTTTGAAAGGGATAAAATTCAGTGAAAGATTCAGCTTTCTATCTATAATAGAAAAAAAGTTATGACCTTTCAAAGTTTTCCAAAATTTAAATCATAAGGTAGGTACCTTCTTACTGAAACGATGAAATTTCAAATTTTTTTTTGTCGAGATTTTGTATCCTAATGGTCAATCAACATACCCCAAACTCCATACACTAAATTATTCTCAGATTTGAAGCCGAAATCTATGAAAAAAAGGCACTCAGAAAAATTGAAAAATCTATAAATCACCCCAAATTGCTAAGCACGATTTTATCTCAGGAACTATAAATGCAAATGAGCTGAAGTTTTCAGGGATTGTAGTCCTTTGAAAGGGATAAAATTCAGTGAAAGATTCAGCTTTCTATCTATAATAGAAAAAAAGTTATGACCTTTCAAAGTTTTCCAAAATTTAAATCATAAGGTAGGTACCTTCTTACTGAAACGATGAAATTTCAAATTTTTTTTTGTCGAGATTTTGTATCCTAATGGTCAATCAACATACCCCAAACTCCATACACTAAATTATTCTCAGATTTGAAGCCGAAATCTATGAAAAAAAGGCACTCAGAAAAATTGAAAAATCGATAAATCACCCCAAATTGCTTAGCACGATTTTATCTCAGGAACTATAAATGCAAATGAGCTGAAGTTTTCAGGGATTGTAGTCCTTTGAAAGGGATAAAATTCAGTGAAAGATTCAGCTTTCTATCTATAATAGAAAAAAAGTTATGACCTTTCAAAGTTTTCCAAAATTTAAATCATAAGGTAGGTACCTTCTTACTGAAACGATGAAATTTCAAATTTTTTTTTGTCGAGATTTTGTATCCTAATGGTCAATCAACATACCCCAAACTCCATACACTAAATTATTCTCAGATTTGAAGCCGAAATCTATGAAAAAAAGGCACTCAGAAAAATTGAAAAATCGATAAATCACCCCAAATTGCTAAGCACGATTTTATCTCAGGAACTATAAATGCAAATGAGCTGAAGTTTTCAGGGATTGTAGTCC